GGAAGAGTGTCTAGTAAAATGCACCGCACTTTGCTTACAGGTGTCCCATTGTGGCAGACTGATGTGATGAAGGACAAAATAAAAGTCAGGCTTGTAAGTGTTTACAGCTAATAGAAAGGGCTCATGGGGCATCAAGGAATAATGGGAAATCAATATTCCTCCCTCCCTAGGACAATATAGTGCACCAGTATGCAAGGGAAATGGGCTCAGTGTCTTAGAGACTCTCTTAAGGGGGAAGGCGAGAGACAATTGACTATGATGAGTTGCTGATAATTAAGGCTAGAGCAAAATCCACAGAACACATTGTTAGCTCAATAACTGGTCCTTTTGGGTAAAGTTTTCTTCCATTATCAAGCAATTTGACCTACTTACTACTTAAGAATGAATATTAGCTTTAATATGTTGATATATTCTGAAGTTTAGGGAGAACGCCCAGGAATTTTTTTTAAAGATTTTTTATTTTAGTTATCTATGCATACAAGAGCTAGGGTGTAGGTTAGAGGTGTGTGGGGGGTGAGAAGATTCACCAGAGGCAGAGTGGGGAGCAGAACAGGTGGGTAGATTGAAATTCACTGCTGAGGGGAGCAGCGGGCGAGGCAGGATTGGTCTGGTGCGCCAGGTGGGTCACCTTCTGGGCCAAGAATTGAAGCTGTGCTGTAGTGGCTGCAGATAGCTTCCTAGTGCTGAAACTTAACCCTTTGTGCCTCTCTCCCAGGAATATTTAGTTTTGTAAAAAGAAAAGAATGAAATCTGGTGCAAGGAAGTTATTAGAAAACATACCTTCACTTTATTTTTCTGACACTGGCTACAGTTCAATAGGGCACAGTCCTTGTTTACTCTGGGTTTTATTGTATTTGCACATTTGGTAAAAAATGTCACTTTTCCAGTATCTGTTCTATTGCTGCATGTGCTGCTGTAGTCACACTCAATTGTCTGAATGACTAATTTCTTTTTTGGGCTATAGAGGAAAATTAATTGCATACTGTCAAAGAATAGATATTGTTGTCCTTGGCAAGCTTTTATTTAATATTGAGGTCATTTTTTCTCCATGGAAAAAAATAATAATAGTGAAGATCAATGGGTAAAGGTGATTCAATATAAAAATATTTACTTCACAAACAAGAGAGAATTGAAGTTGATCTGAATATCAGATGCATAGTTGAGGGTTTTTTTACAATAGGTTCATTTTTGTGAAAATAGGATTTTTCAGAAATGTGTCAGGAAGCATATATTCTTGCTGGGAGACAGATCAGCAATCGCAAACAGTATAATATGATGTCAAGTAGTGATAAGTGCTCTGAAGGAAATAAAGCATAGAAGGGCTTAGAGTAGTGAGTTGGGCATGGATATTATTAGTTTATTTAGTCAAAAGGAAATTCTTTGAGTATGACCACTGTCTGACATGCTGGTCGGTATGGAAAAGCAAGCAATGGAAAGCTCTACAGAAGAAACATTTCTGCTAGAAGGATGGCAAGTATAAAGAGCCCAAGAAGGAAATGATGAGGGTGTTGTGGGAATTGACATAGGCTTTTGCACCACTGGCATCTGTGGCTATCACCTGCAGCCTTGATAGTGTTAATGCGGGAGGCGCTTGGGAGTGCGGGAACAGAGCACACACGCCTGATTGCGGACACCTGGAGTATGGTGTGGGCAAGCCTGAGTGCACACCTGAGTCTGAAGGCTGAGGCTATACGGACTGGGTCACACAGAGAATGGAGGTGGAGAAGAGCAGTGAGAGGATGAGCCATGACTGTGAGATGAGACTATGAGAAAACATTCCAGGGATAGCCCACAGAGTAAAGGTTCTCCAGGGGGTCCCTGCCCCCTGCCTTGCCTTCTGCAGGCTTGCCCCACAATTGGTGCAAAAGGACCATTAAAACCTAAAAGAGCCACTGAGAGTTCCAGGACTCTTCTTTACCACCTGCCTGAATCAGTGGAGAGCCAAACAGGTGTTTTCAAGAAACTGTAACATTAAAATGGTAACAGGTGTGTGGGTGATGTGGCAAGCTGTATGCAGGAGGAATAAAGAAAAGTTAGCTAGGAGGTCAGCAGGTTGGTTGGGCTACGATGGTAGCTGAACAAACTGGGCTGCTGTTCAGGCATCTAGTAAATAATAGCAGCATTTACTACAAATTGGGTTTGGGAGAATCAATACACTAAAGGAAGATAGGGGAGTGGGGAAGAAATAAAGAGATCAACTACCTGGTGCCAAGTAGAAGTATTATGTAGGCAGGGCCCTCCCTGGTGGCACAGCACGTTAAGGTGCAGGGCTGCAAAGCTGGCTGCAGCCTGTTTCGGCACAAGTTCGATCCCCAGTCAGGGAGGTGACCCACATGGCATGGCAGACCTCTCCTGTCTTGCCTGCTCCTCCTCTTAGCAGTATACTTTGTCAGTCGGCCTGCTCTGCTGTCCACTCTGTCTCTGGTGGATCCTCTCACCACCCTTGTACCTCTGCCGCTCCCCCAGTTCTGTATAAAAAGAAGTATTAGTAAGCTGTGAAGCTTGTGGGGAAAGGGGAGAAGTGCTGATGCTGGAGATTATGATGTGGGGTCATCTACTGATCTAAAACCACAGAAAAGGGTAAAAATCACCTGGACAGGGAGTATGTTAAGACAAAAGAAGACCAGGGGCTGACTGCTAAAAGGAAATCTGAAAGAAATGACATACTTTGTAAGACCAGGGAGAAGTGCATCCTAGAACTCAGATGAAAAAGTCAGTTTCAAGAAGGAAAAAATAATCATTTACACTGAAAAGAGCTGGAAGTTTAGGAGGAGGATTGCAAATTGGGCAGAGCAGGGGCTGTTGCTATTGGTAAGACCTCTGAGCTCTAGAGGAAGATGATAATTATTGACAAAAAGCTGATGTTTTGTTACAGGGTAGCCCAGAGTACCTGTCTGTGGGGCCTCACCTGCGTGCTCACAACTCAGTTACAGCAGGGACACACAAAAGGGTCAATAACGGGCTTATTTACAAAAGGGGAAAGGAATAGGAAACAACCCAGGGAAAGAGAGAGGGATACAAAGTAAGTGGAATACCTTAAGGCTAGGCTGACTGAACACACCAAGTCACGCAGTCCAGAGAGCTGCTTCCTGAGCAAGAGAAAGTGAGATCCAGTCATGCCCTATTTATCCCCCAGAATTCATTCCTGCTAGCTCCGCCCTTGGGTCCTCGCAGTTCTCTCCCTGGTACTGCTGGGAGTTGTAGTTTTCAATAGCTGGAGTAGGGGATAGTGTCCAGAAAGCTGGAGTAGGGGGTGGAGTCCATAAGGCTCTGCGGAGTTCCTTTAGGACATCCTTCCCCTTAATAGTTTTAGGTTGGAGAAAAAATAGTGAGAAATAAAAGCATTAAATATGGAACTCTTATGAGGGGTTTGGCTGTTGCTGATCAGGGTAGAGGCAGTAACTGAAGAAAAACTATTGATTTCAATACATTTGTTAGTGTAAAATGATTTCAGTTTTGGTAAAATTGTTTCTGAGACCTGCGGTCCTTTCATTATATTTTCAGTAGCTTCTTACTGGCTGATGTTAAAAGCTGGTGTGCAACAGAATGGATACTAGTTGTTTACAGCTGGTCTGCCTGCTACTAGTTGTTTACAGCTGGTCTGGCACTGTCTTTCTGACTGGTCAGTGCCTCTAATCAGCTGTCAAATATCCTATCACTGTTTGAAAAGTCAAGTTTGTTGGTCTTCCAAACAAAACAAAATACCACTGAGCTAAGGTCACTGTGGTTTGAACACAGTAAGCTTTCAGAAACAATAGGCTACATCCTTGCTGCTCTTTTCCCAGTGGGGCTTCCTCTTCTTTATCATCTTAGTAAAAACTTCAGACTCGAGAACAATTACACAATCTCTGCTTTTGACCCCCATGTCACATCGATATCATGAAGAGAAAGCAAAACCTTTAAAGCAATGGATTTGAACTGCCAGACTTCCATGCCTTTCTTCAATGAGTTTCAGGTCAAAAGTGTTTATCCTCTGAGCTCTGGTGAACATTCATCAACCCTCAAGTAAGAGAGCAAAGACAAGAGAACAAGATAGATAGAGGCAAAGTAGAGAAAAGGAAAGATAAAATACATTCTATTGCTTAAGAAGTATACCGTCAGTGAGTTGAAAATTTGTTCTGTAACTATGGTTAATCTAGAAGTCAATAGCCAAGAAGGAGCCAAAGTATACTGTTTTCCTTGCTGGGCACCAGCAGGGTGATATTCTGTGGCTCTCATGGCCCATTTGGAAAACAGGCTTACAAGATGGAATACAGAGGGCCTTACATGACTGCCTTTATGTTGACAAAATCCTTCCAGAAAGCCAGAGGTGGTTATGGGGGTCTGGCTCACAGCACTGAGAGAGTGAACATAAAATTCCCTGATAGCATACTCAAGTTCTGCATAGGAAGATGCCATACTATCATTCAATTAAGCCACTCATCATTCAATGCTTATTATATGCAAAGCATCTATTCTCAAAGAATAGCAAACTGCATTAACAAATAAGTTCTTTCTTTCAAAGTTAAGCCAATCAGAGGCAATGAGGCTCAAGCCTTCCCATATTAACCTATAGGCTATTGGTACAGAAAATATCAGCAAAAACTTCAGAACTTCATAAGATCAGAAGCTTCTTTAAACTGTATTTCATTACACCCCCATTTGAATGCCCCCTTAAGGAGAAAGAAAATCCTATTTGGGAGATCAAATCTATTTCCATATCCTTTTCAGACTATGCAAACCATGTGTCATGAACTAGCTTGGTCAAGCATCTGGTCCAGTGTAAACTACTTGTAAATAAGCACTGTAAGCAAGCTTTCCCTAATTTAATAAGGGAATCAACTCAAGTTCAGAAAGCAAAGAGCTCACCCAATGTTGCATAATTGGTGTCAGAAGGATGTATAAACCAGGTTAGCCTGACTCTAAAGACACGCTTGCTCACTGTTAATCAAGCTTTTACTGTTTTCTTTTCATCATACCCTAATGCTGCTTTTATGGTCCCACCTAGAAGCCAGCTGTCATGCCATTATGTATTTCTATTTGATGTGAAATTGCATTTGTAGTGAAAGTTTTTATGTTAGTGGTATCTAGCATCTCATCTTGAAACAATATTTTCTCAGAATCTGTTTCTTACAGCACATGAGGAGGGCTGCCAGTGTAACTTCAAGAGGAAGAATGGTAGTGGGTCATTGCTTACCCTGCATGCCATTGACAAAACCTGCAAACTATGCAGGCTGAGCTGTGCATTCAACTCTGGATGGTTTATGATGATCGTGGAATTTTTTTACTTCCAATGCATAGATTTGATTCTAGACTCAGAATATTTTTAGCGGTGACTAGTGTCTCTGCAATTTCCGTGCACTTCAGTTTTCTCAGCTGACGGTATCTGTCATCATGCTTAACCTACTGATGCAGGTTCTCACGTCACTGTCCGGGAAACAGGATGGATTTTTGAATGATTTAGTGCCTGCAAGTTATGGTTACAAAACTTTCAACTTCCTAGAGAAACCCAACTTTTATGTTTTTCTTGGAACTTGCATAATGGTAATATTGGTACTTATGACATTTTTGTAGCTATGCATATCGCTAAGTGATAAAATTTTACATTATGTAGGTGATGAAGCAGAGCTAAAACATAAGAGAATATGAAGATAATATGTATGCTCCTATATTACATTGCAATGTTACAATTTCATCTGAAGTCTTTGTAATTCTGTATGTCAGTGGACCAAAAATGAAACAGTGGAATTTGAATGTGATCAAATTATCAGAAAATAATTTCATGTTATATCAGAATAATCTCATAAAAGTTTTATTCACAAAAATTGGTAAGCCTGTGTTTCTAAAAATTGACGTTTAATGCACAGAAAGCTATAGGAAAGCAATCATAAAACCTAAACATAAGACATAAAACATTGCCTTCAAGCACTGGATTAGACTTGGTGAGTCAAAGGTAACTGTGAACTTATTACATTTGGC